TTTAGCAAGTGCAGGCAGGTTTTGCCCCAGGGGCTTCTGGGCAAAGTACTTTCACAACTTACCCAATCCACCAAGTTTCTGACCATTTTTTACTGAAGTCAGACACTCAGATAAGTCAACAATGGCTGAGAAAAGCAGCTTGAGGATTTCCTAAGGCAGAATGACAGATGACATTGTCAGGATATGAGCCACTGGGCTAGGCAACAACATGTACCATACACCCTGGTGTGTTGTCTAGCTTGCCTTGCTTGGAAAACACAAAAAGAAAATCAAGTTCTTTTAGTCTTGTTCTCAAGAGCTTACAAGACTCTTCTGGAGTTGAGTCTGCACGTTGTGTCAAAGCTGTAGGGATCAGTAGGATACCTTACAAACATGTTAAGTGTATATCCATGGTGGAAAGAAGAGTGGACGAAATCATAGATGTGTCATGCAGTCTCAACAAAGAATATGGCTTCAGTGGAGCAGTTCCATCAAACGATATAACACAAAAAAGAGAACTTTAGCTTTGCAATTATTTATAATCCAGTAGGGGAGGTGGCACTTACTAAGAAAAAAAATTAAAATAAGGATTATTATTTATGATTTGGTGTCAAGAGTAAAAAAGACAAGAGCAATTTGAATATACAAGTCAAGTGGGAGATTAATAAACATTTAACAATGGAGTTTGGAGGGCACTTTTGAGCAGGTTCATAGAAAGAGGTAAGTGTTGTGAAGGAATGGGCCAAATATGTACAGGCCAGTGTCTGATGCAATGGCTTAAGGACAAATTTGTGTACAAACCAAAGTCAGAAAGCTGTGAAGACAGCAGTTGATTGGGAGGAATTGCCTGCTAGATTGATAGCTTTGACTTTTTTTCTTGTGGGCAGTTACTAAGAGCTTGAGAGCCAAAGAATGACATCATGAAAATAGGAGAAACTGGAGGCAGAGAAACCAGTTAGGAGGCTACTGTAAACATTTTGAGATAAGCTTCTGTTGTGGGAGTGGGAAAGGGAGAATGGATTTGAGGGACACCAAAAGAACTGTCTGCTCATGCCTTTGGTTGAATGGGACAGAAAGGGAGAGGAAGCTTCAGCAGAAACCATGTTGAGGGGAGGATTGGGAAGTAGGCCGTGGACTTCTGATGGAAAGTCTCTGCAAGTGGACAGAAAATTTTACATATTGGTAGGAGTGTACTCTCAATTAATTATCTTATAAAAACTATGATATTTCTTTAGGAGATGGCAGTGGGTATCACGCTAATTTTAAAAATGATATCAGGGAGCAACTCCTGACTCACATGGAATGGAAGAATAGAATGGAAGCACTCTGTCATAGGATTTTAAACCCTAGACTAAGGTTTCCGCCCCCCCCCCCAAACCTTTGTGTGTCGTCAGACAAAATCTTTAGGCCACTATTCTTATCTATAAAACAGGGATAGATAGTATAGTGCTTATTCTTTGAGTGTTCCTGAGACTTAACAGTAGCCATTTAATGGAGTTCTTTAGCATGCAATAGATAATGTGTTAAACATTATTCACATTTTCTATTACATCTTTAGAATACCCATTTCATTTTTTTTTTAAAGATTTATTTATTGGTGCATACAGAACTGGGGTACAGGCCAGAGGCTCTGGGCGGTAAGAGGCTTCACCAGAGACAGAGTGGGGAGCAGAACAGGCAGATCTACGAAGTACACTGCTGAAGGGAGCAGCAGGAGAGGTCTGCCACACCATGTGGTCACCTCCGGGGCAGGCGGGAATCGAACTCATGCGGAAGCGGCTTTAGATTCTCAGTGCTGTGCTTTAACCCGCTGCGCCACCAGGGAGGGCCCCATTTCATATTTTTTAAAAAATCCCAAAATTTAGTGCCTTCAAACAATGAAGAGTTCTACCATCTGGATTTGGTTAGGCTATGTGATTCTTTTATTGGTCTTGAAGGTGATCACTGGTGTCTTGTCAACTGGCAATCTCCCTGGGTCTGAGTTCAGCTCTGAGAGGTAGCTGGATTTCTCCCTCTCTCTATGCATCTGATGACATTTCCCTTCCCATGTGGTTTCTTCAGTAGGATAGTCAGCTTTCCTAGCGTGTGGCCCAGGTCCCTCAGAAATAAAGTAGCAGAAGTGTCCATACCTTATAAGGTAAATAAACAGTTTCCTTGATCAATTTTTCTGGTGGTGGCAAGTTACTAGCCCAGTTCATGGCTAAGTGGAAGGGTCAGACTAACAGGGCAGTGGTTGGCTGAAAGGCAGCAAGGTAGTGGACTGCCACAATATGTCTCCAATTTTTAAATGAACAATCTGTAACTAATGGAGGCTAACTGACATGTTCAATGTAGACAGCAGAACTAGATACTGCAAAGGTTATGTTCTAAATCATAGGCCAACTGATATACTTTGTAGGTGTTTTGACCTAGAATCCATGAGGTGCTACTGCCCTTACTTTCCAAAGTGGGAAGCCCAGGAATGGAGGGAGATTTGACATGTGTTGCCTCGGGTGTCTTAAGTATTTTGTTCTGGAGGTTATATACTTAGCCCTATACCATGTTGCCTCTCCTGGGTAATACCTGTATCATACAAAACACTGTAATTGTTATTTAATCTGAAACTAATGTTTGAAGGACTGCAGCAAATCTCTTGAACTATCTACTATCACATATTTTAGGCTGCTTGGGAACAGGACGTTTCCCCTTCCAGTTATCCTGTGATCAAGGCAAGCTCCACTTTTTGTTTGTTTGTTTACATTTATTTTATTTATGTATGCATATAAGAGCATGGCCAGAGGTGGGGGGAAGGGCTGAGAGGATTCACCAGAGACAGAGTAGAAAGCAGAACAGGAGGATCTACTGAAATATGCTGCTTAGGGGAGCAGAAGGCAGAATAGGAGAGGTCTGCCATGCTATCTGGGTCACCTCCCTAGCCAGGGGTTGAATAAATGCTGCAGTAGCTGCTGACTGCTACACAGTGCTGAGACTTAACCCCTTGTACCACCAGAGAAGCCCCGAAATTTCCATCTTAGACATCCACTCCTCTTGCCTCCATTATCCATTAATGTTTTGAAGCATGGTAAGGAATGAAGATGGCATCTGTGTCCTCTGGTCTCCACCATCCTTGTTCTCACTGACTGCTCTTGTGGCTCCCTCAGCATTTTCTTCTTCTTTTGAAGCTGCCAGATACTCTTTACAAAACAGGAAAGGTGAGGACCTTCCTGGAATCATACTGGCCTCGGTTTCTATCCTTTATCAAGTCAGTTTTGTGGCTTCCGAATTAGTAACCATCTGATTCCAGTCACTTCCCCCAGTTCCCTGGCTTATCTACCCATTGCCACAACTGTGAAGGCTTCTGACAATAACTTGCAAAGATCTATTTCTAATATAGTGATCAGTAGTAGCTTCCTCCTTCCCCTACTTTACCTACGGGGGTGGAAGAACTTGCTATATGGAGAGACCAGGGTGGTACCACACTCCCTGAAAGGAGCCATGCTCTGCATACCTTTGAAGGTAATCCATGTGGTTATTTTTCTGTCAGGCAGCCCTTGTTTTCCCTAGTCTGTGCAGAGCCTGGAATTAGAGCACACTCTCAAGTACAGATAATAAAGGGCCTCACTTCGATGAGTTCTTGCTCTTATTTTGAGCAGTGACAAGCCTTCCCCCTACCCCCCCCACCTCCAATACTCTTATGTTTCCAAGGGAATGTTTTGAGGTGGTCTTGTCTTTCTGTAAACTTTTCACCTTCAGGATAACTCCAGATTTTAACTTTAACTTTATTTCATCTTTATAAAAATGTTGAGACACACTACTTGTCCTTCTGTTTAATGTACCACACAAGTATGTAGCTAGGTGCTTTTCAATGAGCTTTACATACATTGTTTCATTTGACTTATTTCATAAACTTCTATTTGAGTTGAGTGGTGCTTTCTGAAGAGTGACTTATTCTCCCTTTCTTCCCAGTGGAGAGGGGATAAGGGAAACTGAGCTGCTTCAGAAGGCCGAGCCAGGCCTACTTCCTGCAGCTGCCTCTTCCTCCAGGGGTGGGGGTCCCCACCCCTTACCCAGAAGTAGTCTGTGGGAGGGTATCTGGATTTTTTTCTCAGGGTCCCTGGCACATACTCTCTGTATTCCAGTCACCTGCTTAGGTTCCATCCCTGCTCCAGGATCTTGGGAGGGCCGCAAGAACATTCCAATCCTCCCACTACCCAGCCACTATGTAGCTGGGGGAGGGGGAGATGCGATTGCTCTAGCCTTTCAACACCAGGTTTTCTTGTCAATTCCTAGTGGCCTGAGACATCCCTGAGAGGAATGAGGACTGAAGAAAGAGTTGCTTGTTTACAGCCAATCCGTTTTGAGTAAGTCGCATCACTAGCGACAGAGGCACTTTCTGGGCACCAACAACTGAAAGCCAAACAGCCCAGATGCCTTGCCTGACCAAATATGGTCACAAGCACTAAGTAAGCAGTCTCCCGTGGAAGGTCTGGCCTTGCTAGTGTCTCCCCGCACAGGGGCGCACCCGTGCCGGACCCCAGGCAGAACCCGGTTTCTGCCTGGCGCTCGGGACGCTCCCGGCCTCTCCACCCGCAGGAAGAAGCGGTGCAGGGCCCAAGCAGCGGTGCTTCCAAGGCCTAGGCCCCTGGCCCGCGTGCGTGCCCTCCACCGCCCCCCGCCTTAGTTTCGGTCAACAAAGCCTTGATTAAGCAGGCTGCGGCCACTTTCCCTTTGATCCCGCCCCAAGACAGTGGTAAACTCAAAGGAATGCCGACCCAGGGCTCCGCGGAGAAGTCCGCGCGACAGGAGGAGTGGGTGGGGGGCACCAGACTCCCCTCACCGAGCAGAGTACCCATCACGCCCAGGGCTTTCAAGAGCCAGGGCTGGGGCGGAGGAGGAAGGGGAGGGCCGAGCCGGGACAGGCCGGCTCAGGGCTTGGGGGTTATGCATAATTCAACAGCTCAACTTTCGGGCCCGCCTCTTTCCTGGGAGTGGGAGTTCGTTCCAAACTTTGTTTATGGGACAGTCCGGGAGCCGCGGCGGCCGTGCTGTCTGCTTCTCCTCCGCCTCCTCGCGGATCGGGAGCTCTTGAAGCCAGCTCGGGGAATGTGAGAACCGAAGCTCCTCGGCTGCCAGGCACCGCGTCGAGTTGGAATTTGCCAGCAGTGCCCCGGCTCCACACGAGCTCGGAAAGGACTCGAGCGACCCCGGCCTGACGGCGAATTCCGGCGGGACGGCGGCCGCCGCACGCCCAGACTCGGCTTCGCAGCGCGCCCAGGTAGTGCCCCCCGAAGCGCACCCGCTCTCCTGGCACCACTCGGTGACACCTCGCTTCTCCGGCTCTCCAAGTCCTGATGCCCGGGAGTTGGCGCGGGTGGAGACTTTAGGGGCTCTGTGCTTGGAAAGTTGCGACTTGTACTTTGCCACCGCAGTTCTGCTACGTCCCAGTGCAATTACTCACCACCGCCCCCCCCGCCCTCCACCTCCGCCCCCGCCCCCCCAGCCTTCCCACCCCTTTCCCGGTAACTTTGCTTCGAGAAAGTTGCATAATTTTCGAGGCCAGGAGGGACCCCTCCCCCACCCGGGCTCTTGCTGCTGAGTGTCGGGGATCCCTAGACCGCACCTATCTGTCTCCTCTTTTCTTCTGTTCTCTCCCTGCAACCCCCTCGCCACTTACCCCCTTCGACTTTAAACACAAAGCTGATCCGATCTCCCTTCTCCTTGCAGAAGATGAATCCGTCCTCAGCGCCCCCTCCGCTCCCGCCGCCAGGGCAGCAAGTGATCCATGTCACTCAGGACCTAGACACTGATCTCGAAGCCCTTTTCAACTCCGTCATGAACCCCAAGCCCAGCTCTTGGCGGAAGAAGATCCTGCCGGAGTCGTTCTTCCAGGAGCCTGATTCCGGCTCGCACTCGCGCCAGTCCAGCACCGACTCCTCCGGCTGCCACCCGGGGCCCCGGCTGGCCGGCGGCGCCCAGCACGTCCGCTCTCACTCGTCGCCCGCGTCCCTGCAGCTAGTCACCGGCGCGGGCGCAGCGGGCAGCTCGGCGCAGCAGCACGCGCACCTCCGCCAGCAGTCCTACGACGTGACGGACGAGCCGCCACTGCCCCCCGGCTGGGAGATGACCTTTACAGTCAGCGGCCAGAGGTACTTCCTCAAGTAAGTCTTGCCGGCAGAGTTTGGATGCCCAGGGCGCGAGCTTGTTCACGCGTGTGATCGCGTTTCCTAGCACGTTTCTCTTCCAGTGGAAGGAGAGAGTGGGATGGTGTTGGAAATGTTAAGGGATCTAAAGCAGAGTCGAATGAGGTGCTTCTTGAGTCCTGAGGTCCCAAGCGACTTTGGACGCAGAAACCCTCTGAGGGAGAAAAATAATTGAGGTGGGTGTGTGGGCTTCTCATGAAACGCCTGTGCGACATATGCTGGATCTGGAATATTGATATTTCGATGGAGCCTCCAGGGCACGGACCCCTACCCACTTCCTTGCCACTCTAAGTCAGAGTTTCCAGAGCAGGTTCCTGGGATGTAACATCAGATTAAATGAGGGAAATGTTATGAGACTTGGGAAGGAGGCAACCTTCAGTAAGTACAGATGGCCAGCAGTCTCCCTGGTTTTGGGGAACTACATAGAAATACAACTACTTGTTACGCCTTACTGTTTTCTGCTGGGTGACGTTATGACCACGAAGACAGCGACGTAATTAGGAATTGTGTAGTGAAGTAGTTGTGGGCTGGACAAATCAATTGTTTGGAAATGGGGTCAGTTGTTGTATTATGTCACGCTTGATAACCTGTAATACCATCAAATCAAGAGCCTGCTCTGTCATTCTTTCCTTCACATTGTTCTGGACTGTTGTTGAAATACATTTTATATTAGGTTTGAATTAGACTGTACAGACAGCATTCAGTTGTGATACCTTAAGACAAATAAGTTTCTCCCTTAGGAGAAACTAAGCTGGAACTTGAACTGTAAGCAGTAAGGTCATGGGGGCTCAGGCTATCAGTGGCCTAGATCCAGGCTGCACCCCTGGACCACTTGGGTCAGTATTATGAGCTCTGTCTGGCAGGCCAGCCAGGGAAACTCCTAAAAACCTGCTCTAGAGTTTATTTTAAAGTCTTTGATGGAGAAGGCATCAAAGTAACCTGGAGGACTCTCAGTTTAAAAGTTGTAGTAAGTCCTTATGTGCAGTTTGTAAAATATAATCAAGCCTTTCTTTGGTATTATTATTCGATACTTTGCTTTAAAAAGCCATTGTAAAAAACACAAGTGATGGATGAGTTTTATTATAGCCAGCTCTTTGACTCATACTGGTGACCAATTATTCCTTCCCCATCTCAAAGCTGTTGATATCTCATGCAAGTAGATCTTTATTTTGTTGTTGGGGTTGGTGCAATGCTGAGAAGCACTTTTCCTAAAGCAGACTTGATGGTAATTTTATTTCAGAGTTCTGAGTTCTTGGAGTGATAGTGTGAACTTGGTGCTTTGACTTCTCACTGATTGGTAAAACACAAATGTGTGATAGAATAAATGACATTTTTCTACATGTGACATTTTGCTAAAAGATGAACTTAGTTTGTATAGTACACGAAAGTCTAAAATAGCTGGCAACTGGTATTAAGTTGGTATTAAGTTTGCTTAGGTAAATGCAGGTTTGAATGTTGTGATTTTTATAGAAATAGACTTAGTAAAAAATACAGATAGAAGAAGATCCAAATGATTTGCAGTACTTAGTAATCTGGTCCCGAAATGTTCTTTGAGCTGTACTTATGTGTATATATAAATATAATCAATATAATTGTGACTATTGATGCTATGAAACTAGAGCTGAGCTTGCCTAATATCTGGGGAAAGCAAGAAACAAAAGACCCTCAAACAAAAGCAAACTGAAACAAAAAAAAAATTCCTTTTATACATCTATTCTGAATTAGCTCAGAAATGATTTTGTGAAACAAGGCCAAAATGAAAGTTACTCAGATCCTTCTCTGTACATCTCCCCAACCACAATCACTTCCCCACAAAAAGTCCAGTGCATCTTCATTTCACTTTGGATAGTCAGTGAAGATGAGGACTGGAAAAAAAATGTGTAAGTAGTAAGCTAGCCTGATTTGATTCTATCCCTGGAAATTTTTTGGCCAAGTGGCTAAGGGAATTTAAGAAATTAAGTCATCATGACTATTGTCTTTCATGATAAGCAATCTGCCAAGAATTCTGAGTTTCTTTTGGAACTTTGTTTAAAGTTGGACTAAGGTAAATGTCATATGTCACACTTGTTACACAGTTTCAAAAGTCAGTCTATTTTGATGGATTAAGTATAAGCTTAAAAAATTGGCAACTGAGGGCCCTCCCTGGTGGCGCAGTGGGTTAAAGCACAACACTGAGAATCTAAAGCCGCTTCCGCATGAGTTCGATTCCCGCCTGCCCCGGAGATGACCACATGGCGTGGCAGACCTCTCCTGATCCGCCCGCTGCTCCCCTCAGCAGTGTACTTCGTTGATCTGCCTGTTCTGCACTCCACTCTGTCTCTGGTGAATTCTCTCCGCCCCACATCTTTGGCCTGTATCCCAGTTCTGTATGCACAAATAAAATAAAATCTTTAAGAAAAAAAAAAATTGGCAACTGATCATGAGTTAATTTTCATAAATCTGTCCATTATGTCTGTGAAATGGGACTAGCAGAATTCTATTTTTGATTCTCTCAGAAGTTGAAGGTTTCATAAATTATAGCTCAAATTGTTTTTGAATTCACAAGAGTAAAAAAAAAATGAAGAATTAGCTAGGGTCAATCGATTTCTTTTTTTGGCTAGAAAACTGAGATGAGGGAAGGGTAACATGTAACTTTGGGAAAGTCATGTGATTATTTAATGGTCAACCCTGGATTGGACCTCTAATCTGTTACCATTTACTTAAGAAGCAGTTTTCCATTTCCCCCTCTACTACCTTTATCCCCTATTCCTCAGCTGAACAATAAGTTTTAGGGAAACAAAGCATGGTCATCTAAGAAGCTTTCAAAGGCTTTTTGTCATTTGCACAGGTAAGATTGTTCTTAGGTTAATGATGTAATCACTCTCATACCTCTTAAAGGGCACCTCTCCTGAGTGGTCACACCTTTCCTGTGGTCAGGCATTCCTTTAGGGTAACATATAACAGGGAAGGATCAGATGTGAAAACACATGGTCTCTGAAAAGGACGTGTTCCTACTGTCCTTCAAAGCTCATAAATCAGGCTGGGGTGTGTAGGTGTTGGGCTTTTAGCAGCCAGGAACCTTGGCTTTGATCATACTAAAGTTAAAATTCTAATTAAAAATGGAATAAGTATTTATTATTATTTATTCTTGAATCAGAAAATAGAGAATTTTAAAGAAGAACATGACCCACCCTAAGTAGAATTTTCCATACTTTCATTCTTGTAGAAGAATTTTGATTAAAAGTAGTATAAAAGTATTTTATCCCCACTCTTAAATATGATTCAGTTGATAACCTTTGCTTGCCACTTTCAATTTTTAGTAATAATTTGTGTTTTTTGCCTTTTTTTGAAGTGTGTGCTAGGGAATTTTTTTGACAAAGTGATCTATATACTTGGTAACACATCCAATAGTACAGAAGGATTTTTGAAAAACAAAAGTTTTTTAAAATTTTTTATTATTTTTTATATATGCATACAGAACTGGGGTACAGGCCAGAGGTGAAGGGTCAGTGAGAGGATTTACCAGAGACAGTGAGGAGCAGAGCAAGCCAACTGGGAAGTATACTGCTGAGGGGAGCTGTGGGCCTGTCAGGAGAGGTCTGCCTTATGGGTGGGGATTGAACTCATGCCTAAGTGGCTTTAGCTTTTTAGTTCTGTGCTTTAACCTGCTGCGCCACCAGGGAGGGCTTAGCCGCCAGGGACGGCCTAAAGACTCTTTCTGTCCTAGGTAATATGCTTTTACCACTATTTTTTTAATTTACCAAATTTTAACTTTGATATGAAAGTGAGAATGTAGCTTCTTTTAACTAGTTCTTCCTCTCCCAAATTTGATATATGAATTTTAGTTTGTTATAGGTCATCTTTGTTATTTATTAATCTTTTGCTGGGTCAACATTGGTTGGTATTTGGGAGGTATAGGATCCCCCCTTCAGATATAATAACACATCCACCCCCCAGACACACAGCATTCACCAGCGAGTTGGCTCTTCAGAATGTTTCTTCTCTCCGAACGTTTCTCCTCATGCCTCTTCCACCTCCTCTGAATACTTCACATCTATAGAGAGGTGTCAAGGGTTGGTTTTTTTAAGTTTGTCTTTTTCTAACCCTTTGTTTGCTTTCTCTATGTTACACATACAGGCGACACTGTCTGCTAGTTTTTGCCAATTATGGACAGTGTTTCTTAATCCATTGTGTAAGGCAGGGAGGTTTGAGTAGTTATTCTACAATTCACTTTTTGTCAGCGACACCCACTAAACCTTTCCATTCCTCTAAACTGAACAAACTATACCAATTATATTTTGTGTCCAAATTAACCTTGTTATTGATAAATTATTACTAAGTTTGAAAACCTGTGCCACTATTTATGCTATTATAATTCGATCCATAGACTTCATTACCTGTGCATTAGAATTTGGATTTTAGAGTGCACATTGATATCAGGACTCCTGACCAAACAAAGGAAGATGTATCCAGTACCTAAGGAATTATTTCTTTTCACTCTTCAACAGTCATTTAAATTTGTACTACCATTTAGTTTCTTCACATTTGGAGAGCAATTTTCTTGTATATCTTTTCAAGTATTTCTTATTGCCTTATGTTCATGTGGACCTTTCTTGACTTGTGATGGGCTTATGTCCCCAACAAACTCATCAAAATGAAAATATTAGTAATCAAAAAGTTATATTACTCAAAGTTATAGTTTAGTCTTAGGCTACCTTAAAGGTATTTGGAACTCTTACATCATACAATAAAATGCTTATTTTATAAACTGTGTTGAATATCTCAGATACAGATGAGCATTTTGTGGAATTGATGGGATGTGAAAACACAGTATTAAAAAATTCTGGCAACATAGTATGGTGTAGAGAATAAGTTGCCTAACCTTCTGATTATTGGAATGAAAGCTGAGGCTTCCTGCCTCCGCCCAGAATTAGGAAAACTGTACTTTGTCTTGGAAAAGTTCAAAATTCAAAGTACAA